CAGTCCCGCTCCACACAACACGTTTGCAGTTTGAAACCCTACAGTCGTATGAGCATGAAGCATTATCTGAACTTGGCTTAAATATCCGCGTCACGTGGCACAGCAATCGATACCGTAATAATGGAAATAAACATTTTTTTTTGTAATTATAATTTTCGTTTGCATGTTTTGGAAGAATGAATAAATTCAGATAGTTCTGATACGTTCCATTCTCCTCTCCAACTGAAGATAAGTGGCGCACTGTAACAGTATCTTTACATTTCCTGAGGTAAGTTGTTCAAAATATGTGTTATACTACTTTGGCTTTGGTGACTGAAGAAACCAACGCAAAACCTCAGGATATTCGGTCTCTGTATCGAGACCTCAGCTCGGAACGTTCAGAATGCAAAGCAAGAGAATGCCTCATTCATTCGGGATCCAATGCTGATACAGTGTTGTTAAACCAAGTGAAATATGAAAGTGAGGAACGTTTGTTCACTAGGTCTCTTCTGGTGTCTTGCTCCTTTTCCCAGAAACAAATTTATGCCTCTGCGGAAGCATGTATTGAATTTCTATTTCTAAGTGAAAGCCTGCTATTTCTGTTGAATGGTATACCATCATAATTCTCGTGGGGCCATCAGTGACATTTTCAGCCTTTCCTTTATCGTCAAGTCTTTATTTGTAGCAAGTTTAAAGTACGAAATGAAGTTCGATTATTTGGGACGGAATGACGGAAATATAGAAACTGATAGGTCGTTACTGTCAGTATTTACGGACGTATAAATTTGTCTTTCCAATAGCATAAACATAATTGCAGAGTCTGCATTTGTGAGGTTGTGCAACGCAATCCTGATTTCAGTTTTCGTTCTTTACGTACCGTTAGCTGTACTGTCTGGTGCTCACACCATACAATTCAGATTAGTCTCATATTCCTTTAGGGGGCTAGATTTTACCGTCTTTATGACTGAGGGAATGCTGCGCCCACCCATCCACCTCAGGTTGTGTTTACTCTTCTATACCTATTGTTTGCCGGTCACGGTAGCCGAGCGGTCTAAGGCGTGCACAGTCTTCGCTCGCTTGGAAGCCGGGATCGTGGGTTCGAGTCCCACTCAGGGCATGGATGTTTGTGTGCGTTTTTCTGTGTTTGTGTACAGGTAGAGGCCTTGCGACGAGCTGATCACTCGCCCAAGGAGTCCTACCGTATGTGTAAGATCTAGAAAAACCGAAGTGAACGGAGAAGTTCATGGAGTAGATAATGAAAAGTTCAGTCCAGTGTGACATACGAGTTTACAACACTTCAGTCCTCATTCGCCTTACATGTTTCGAGTCAAAAGACTCATCTTCAGAGGCGCACCACTACGATAAGGAAACACTGTCACATAAGATATTTTAACAATATGCACTTTGGACATGACTAATGCTCTCTTATATCTTATGTGACAGTGTTTCCTTATCGTAGTGGTGCGCCTCTGAAGATGAGTCTTTTGACTCGAAACTTGTAAGGGGAATGAGGACTGAAGTGTTGTAAACTCGTATGTCACACTGGACTGAACTTTTCATTATCTACTCTGTAATTAATAGTGTGACGGACCAAAATGAGACAAGTTAAGTTTATGGAGGTAGGCCTAAGCCCACTGGGGCTGTAGTGCCAAGAAAAATGGAAAAAAAAATAAAAAATACCTATTGTATATTTAATGATTCTGTTAGTATTTCAGACGATGTAACGTAAAATTGTCCACCGATGGTGTCTACATATTATTGTGGTGGTATGATTTGAGTGCTCCTGTGACTCTGAGAGCAATGCAGGCGGTAGCGCAGCTACTGGTAGGGCCACCCATGCCGGACAGGCCAAGGGGTAGGAGCCAGATACCCTGGTCCTGCAGGTTTGGGGTTGGGCGTGAGGTTAACAATCTCACGCCGTAAAAACTAAAATTGTTCAGAAACCGAACAGGCAGCCTCGGATGGCTGAACTGAACGGAAATCGACACCAGCGAAGAAACACGGAAGTGAAAGGATGGGGAGGAAAGATGAGAACAGAGAACAATGGAGGCAGATTGTTCAGGAGGCCAAAGCTCACCCTGAGGTGTAGCGCCGAGGGGAAGGAAGGAATGTAACGTAAAATTATAGGGATATTAGTATATAATGAGTTGAAAATGTCATGGAAGGAAGCGTCCATGATCTAATTTTACGTACCGAGGAAAACCACAAATAGGTCATTGTATATAGTAGGTCTGCTATCCGAGATTCGAACCCGGAACCTCCAGAATAAGAAGCGCAATCGACATCTACGTTCCGTCCGCTGCAGTCGTTGCGAATGTCTTTTGTTGTTATTTCGGAGGCTCTGAATGCCGACCTGAAACTGACTGGAAGTAGAGATGTCGACCTAATGCGCACATCTATGCCGGGTGCGTTATAGGTCCTTAATGGTTAAGTGTTCCAGATACAAATGTATTGTTTCCAAGCTGGTCGTACTGCTGCGCAGTTTGCCGACGTATATATCCGTGTATTTTTTACATATTCTTAATGTCGAATGTGAGAAATAGATTTCATATCTTCATTTATTTATTGTGTCGTACATCAATTTTTGTTCGATGAACTGTTTTTGGTAAAATCCATGAAATTCGGTTTCAAATTCAGAAGTAGTGATAGTACACTGCACCAAATTAAAGCGGCATGTAGATTCATTAAAATTGGAAATGATTTTTATAGTAATTATCGAATTAATTCAAAATGAAGTTGATACTTGAAGTCCCAGTTTTTCTGACCTGTAGGCTGAAGAAATTGTTTCACCTCCCCTTGTGTTCTGTCTCGGGTGCAATTGAATAGCTGTCTTTCTCGTGTCTTCATTGGCTGACGTGTGCGGCGACATGTGACAGGATAAGCGTAACCAAGCGATTATAATGCGACACGAAACGACAGTCTGAACTTGGGATGAAATCTGCGGAAATAAGACTGAAATATAATAATTTATTAATTAATCAGCGCAACAGTTTGATCATATATAACATTAGGAGCTCGCACTGCTTGTATGTGAACCAAGGTCAGTACCAGTTACTGTAGGAATTACGTTTGTGTATAATGGCTTGGTGATGCATACGCATTCGCCGTAAGATTCTTTGAGGATCTAAATTGAACATCACCGACCATTAGAACGTATTCTAATGGATCCTGGGTTGATCTCGACCCTGAGACCGACTGCCCTGTTGCAATCGCTCTAAATTCTGTCCTCATCCAGGAAAATACATTATTAATACGTCAAAATACGTCTTAGTCGTTTCCTTTCATGTACCTTTTATCAGCAATAAGCATCCCACTTCGGCTGAATAGACCCATAACGTGGGATATTGAATAAAAGTGTAGTTGCGTAACACAAGAATCAGCCAAGGCTTTTACAGTTCCCGCGTCGTTCTTGAATGTTGAGCAGGTTTAATTTCAGCGGGAAATCTGATGTTGTGCGGGTGCACACTGTGTCGCTGTGTGAATAGAATTGGGCTTGGTGGTAGTCACAAGGCTGGATCTGTGATACCGGTCCCTATTTTTTTAGAAAAATATTGAAAGAGGATAACGTTGTAGTTTGTTACTTCAGAAATTGGAATATTGTTGATGCTGTTGTTGGTGATATTGTTAGAAGCAAGCGTGCCCCTTCCTCGCCGAAGGTATTGTTGCCCTTCTTGCTGATACCCTTTAAAGAAGGAATATGTGACATTTGAATTGAGAATCACGTCATTAAAAATAAAAGGATGGGCAATGAGGGTCTGAATCCCACCCAGAAACTCTGTGACGTGTAGTAACCGTATTGGCGGAGATTTCGAATGTGGACTCTTCATATGTTCAAGGGTCTCTCTCGGGTTCGCGGTAGAGATAGGATACTGACAGAAAGCGACGAAAAATTTCATTCATTTTTGTGTACATACATTATTGTTTTGTTGTCAGATGCATTGTTAACTTTCATAAAATTTACCACTTTTTTTTTTCGGAATATAAGCAGTACTTCCTCCAAAACTGGATGTCCATTAAACAAAGTCTGGCTTGTGAGCTCAGCCTTACTGGACGGACTGTTATCGTATTCTTACAAGCTATGTGGCACAGTTAGCAGGCAGTACATTATATGAAGAAAGCAGTCTTCTGGGATTTGGCACCGTGTATATGTGGTGTTAACCGACGTTTNTATATGTTGTCACGTGATGGGGCGCGTATAGACGGAGTTTGGATTGGTAATTGGGTTTATTCAACCCCTACAGATCCGTGACTACAAGTAATTATAACCGTTTCACTAATTCACACATACAGTTCACTAGAACACACGTTTAAGTCTTCTGAGCCCCCTGTGTCTTTACCAGTCTTCTGATAACGGCTTCCAACATCAGACGTTCCTCTTCCTCTGGGTTGACTAATCGTCAACCGGCCTCATCTGCCAGCAACACCTCAGTGGCTGTACCGCAGCAGTCCTCAAACTCACTCCACTGACTGACTCTAACCACCAACTGTCTCCTCACTGACTTGCCCCCCCTTATAACATCGGCGCGGACCGCATAGAAAACACCTCTCGCGCTGTGCCATTGTTGCTTTCGTGTCTATTGGGGTTTCCACATGATCGCTATTCAGCTATGGCCTAGTAACGTCCGTTACTTGCAGAGCCATTACTTAGTAGTGGCTGTTGTATACTTGCATATTTCGCGGTCATTGTCTAGCAACGGCTCTACATGCCAAATTATATATATATATGTAGAGAGGGAGAGGGAGAAGGGGGGCACTTGGTGCTACTGTGAACCCAAGGGTGCACGTCGAAATACTAATTAATGCGCTGTTCATGTCCCTGTTCATGCTTCCTTTTCGCTACACGAAGTAGCATCTCATTCTAACTTGTAATGCAGGTTGTAATGTCCTTGTCTATGTAACCGAGTGCTGTGCGCTGTGGATGCATGTGATGCGTTCTTTATTCAGGGGCTGTCTACATTGAAAAGCTCAGTAGAGGCAGGATAACGACTGTGCTTATTGGGTTATTGTCTTGTTTGTTACAGCTTGTGGGAGGAGAGTTTGACATGGAACTGAATTTCGTGATCCAAGATGCACAGAACATCAAACATATGCTGGAGCTGCTGGACCATTGCCCTTCTAACCTGCAGGTAATAAACTAAAGAGAATGGGTTCCGAACTTCGTGCATGTCGTGTCTGTGTGTTTTGTAATGTGTTTTATATATAATGACAGTATTACCTGCCCATTCATAAGCCTGTTTGATTTCTATATTTCGGCCAGCGCCATGTCCATGTTGTACAGCGTTTTGGAAGATCACACCTGCTCTAAGTTTAGAATTAAATGATGCGTCTTTTGTCCTCATTCACTACTTAATCAATTAAACCGTAAAAAATTGAATTGTGCCCATCCGTAGTCCCTCAAACGGCGCATAGAACTACAACTCAATTCACGCAGTGAAATAGAGCTCTAGCAGTACATGACATACTCCGACGGAAGTTAGCTCTATTTTTCGGAGAAGCAGTAAAACTTATAGTGAAAAATGTAGTTAAAAGAAGCGGCAGTTAACACTGTGAGTTAAGATGCAAAGGAGGTGGCAGCTAAAACTCAGTTAAGTTTTAAAGGAGGCAACAGTTAAAACTGTGAGTTAAGGTGAAAGGAGGCTGCAGCTAGAACTGAGTTAAGTTGTAAATGAGGCAGGAGTTATAACTTAATTGCACTGCAGCTTCTCAGAATGTCTAGGTAATAACCTTAATACTATCTGAATGCCGAAACCAATCTTCGTAGAACTTTGTACATATATCGTGCCATTTGAAGCCATCTCAACAGTGTAATTCATAAATCACTCCCATCAGTGATATCAACATTGAAGCCTCCGAAATTGCTATTTTAACAACTTCAGTATGCATACACACCAAAGTTTTCTTTCAGCTTGTGTCAGGTGCTCAACTTACAGTGAAAGGAAAGTAGGCGATGAGTTATTCCCAGAACTTCCTGTTTTAAGTAAGGTTAATGCCATAGTGTATTACATTTAGGGGGTACACCTTTTCGAGTTCCGTTCACGTATGCTCTTGGTATATACTGCTCAGATCATTATAATGGCGTAGTGAGATTCGGAAAGTTTTTCGTATAAGGAGAGGTCGCAGTGTTGCATGCGGGATTGAAGGAGAATTTTTATTAAAAATGTACCTTGTCCCGAATATAGAACAGAGTTAATGACTGAGCCAGTGTTCCGGCAATACGCATTTCCAGTAAGGAGAAGGCACATACTTTTAGAAGTCCCCTCTCTTATCTTCCTATGTCAGTTGTAGTAGTTTAGTAGCAACGTTTGGTTTATCTGAATAAGCTGAGTAGAAGTCTTGGAGGAGAGAGACGTGGTCTGCTTCAAGATACTGTCCCGACGCTTGGCTGAAGGAGCTTAGGAAACCCAAGAATAGCTTGAGGATATCAAGTTTTATGTCCGAGATTTACTTCTGACGACAACTCCACTTTTATCTGTATTTCATTTTTATTATATGTACGTATATTTCCGATATGAAATTGCCGTATATCAGTCGAATTTAATACTGAAATTTGATTCGTTGTTATTCATTACATCTTTCATGTTGTCATAAAACTAAAATAATTTGTATGAAATCTTTATTTTTGCATGTAACATGACTGTACAGATAGAAAACGGAGGGCTCGACGTGTCCTCCCTGGGAGACGGCGTGTCTCTCTCGAATGATGCAGTTCTGTATTACAGCTTGCAGAGTTATGTTGATCGAAAACACTTTTTGTTTTACTGCCTCTCTAAAATCGTCCCTTTTGCGAAGATCACTGTTGAATACTTTAGGATTTCCTTATAAGAAAGTCACGTGGGTTGAATTGTGATGACAAAGGAGGTCACGTAATGCCTTCAATTTTAACATGACTGAATCTGAAAGCACCCTGTCTCCGAATGTTTCCTTAGAAATATCAGGACATTATGTATTGTAGGAGGCCGCGCGGCATCTTGCTCGTGGAAGCAGTCCTTATCGTTATCAGCATTGTTACATATGAGAGCAGGACAGTCATCCTGTAAAAGATTAATGTAAACCTGTGACTGGCTCCGCCACCAATAAACTCATGTCCGAATACACGAGTAGTGTTACGCGCAAAGTGCACAAACACATTGATGATGTAAGTGCTTATCAGTAACATCCCCTTGATTTTGTAAAGCATAATAACGGGCATTCTGAATGCCCACTTAAGCGTCTAAATTAAATGCCTTTCATCAGTAATGTTGATAAATCAGATTGATAACTTTTTACTGTGTAAGTGGCAAGTCAGTTATTTGGGAACCACACTGAGAAATCGAAATTGCATTCATGAAAAAATTAGGAGAGAATTGAATTCGGGGAGTGTCTACTACCGTACGGTTCATATTATTTTGTCATTTTGCTTGCTGTCTGAAAGAATGAGACGGAAAGAACTTTAATTTTGCTTGTGCTTTGCATCGTTGTGAAAATTTGTGACATTAATGAGAGTACGTAGACTTGAGGGTGTTTGGGATCAGGTAAGTTGATGATAATATTGTGCCAAAGAGGGAAGAAATGAGAAGAGGCAGGAGAAAATTACGTATTGAGGAACTTCATAATTTGTAGTCCTCTGCACATATTATTTGTTTGATAAAATCAGTTAGGATGCGGTGGTCAGAGGTATAGCTCTCGTGTAAGAGAAATGCATAGAACGTTTTGTTAAGTAATCCTGAAGAAATGAGACAGTGTGGAAGGCCTAGACATAGATTGGTTGATACTGTTATAATGGACCTAAAACAAACTGGATATGAGATTGTGGACTGGATTCATATGACTTATTACAGGTACCGAAGCGAGTTAATGAATCTCCCGGTTTGATAAAGTATTAGTTTTATTTTTTGAGTGGCTGAACAACTATGGATTCTCAAGGACTCAGCTGCGTGGGGTTAGTGCTGCAGCTTATATTCATTTACTGCAAAAGACATGCAAGTTTTTTAGAAGTCTTCACTAAAGTTGGTCTGGCATGATTCTCTTCAGGCTGCTTAACAAAGTGCCAGACGGTATTTTTATTGGTCCTTTACGTGAAAGAAATTCTGTACAGATTTTTTCCTGTACTTCAGCCACAGAGCCTCCCGTTTTGTAATACCCTGTCACAATGAAAGATGTCTGATGCACACTTTGCGGGATTAAAGTGACGCTACCCGGCCGCTACCAACTTCAAATACAAACGTGGACGTTGAGTCCCGCTGCTGCTTGGATTGTAAAGACAAGAGCAGCTGAAGAGGTTGGACCAGTACTCGTAATACGAGTAATCACTCTGGACCAAAGATTGCTTCAGTCCATTTGATTTCAGAAAAGTAAACATCCTTGTATTTTGAAGCTTTGACAGTAGGCCACAGTACCAAACGTTGCGGTATAGTCATTAGTACTTCCTCGTAATCAGGTGGTCCCAAGTCCGAATCTAGACCCGAGGACTTGTTGTTAGTAGTATAGTTATTGAAATACATTTTGAAGCATAGATCTATTGTTAGGCAACGAATTGGTAAAAGTATTTCCCGCGGAAGGAAATGCGCGCAACAATAGGACGTCAGTTGCTAGGCAGCGGATCAGTAAACACGCCTCCTTAACAGTAGATGTTGTGTTTTCTGCGTGGTTCGTGCAAAGTGGTTATAAAGAACATAAAACAACATAAAGTAGGATAAAACAGAATGGAATTTTGAGACGCCAGCTTGCCAGGATATGAGCTTGGTAGCAGAGGAACTGAACTGACTCGAGTCTTCGGAATTGGCAATTGCAGAATAATGACAAGAAAGGAATTAGGCTATGAAAATAAGACTTCGTGTGTGATTTGAAGTGACAGTGAGATTGTTATAAATCCGTTGCCAGGATACGGCTAGTGAAGACACAATCCTAGTGCGTGTGTAAAGGTGAACTGTAAAATGTATAGATCAGCGATAGCGCTCTATTGCCTTTAGTTCGGAGTTGTGAATGTTTAAGGTGTAAGTAAATTAAATCATCCAATCAAAAAATACCCGTCATATAAATCACGCGCGGAACCCTCAATCGTGGCAATATACCCGTTTAATGGCCGCTTCGTCCCACATCCTTTCTATCTGATCGTCCTCAATTGTCCTATCATTGACTCTCCTTGAAAGTTTCATGCAGTAACTCGAGATTCAGTCAGGCGATAGTACGTTTCATTAACTTTATCTACCCTAACGACAAAGTGCGCTGTATTGCTGATCCCGAACGAGAGATGGCTGGCTGGCTGTGGAGTTCGTGATAATCCACCTCCTTGACACTCCTGATTCCCCTCTATGTCTCGCATGTTTGCTGTTCTTTCAGTCATGACAGAGATAATGCATTGACAAACGCTGGATATTATTTGCCCGGATATTTGAATATTTGCTTGCCCAAGTGCTTTCTGCATAGCATTCCCCGCTACGTTACTTAAATGGCATCCTCTTTGTCGGGCTGTCTTGCTAAGAGGCTTATAACCACGGTGACAGTTTACTTTGGAGAGGAAATAAGCTTTGAGCATATGTAATATAGCGGAACTAGTGTTTTGTGACAGACAGTGATTATGTAAACTTGTTTGTACAGGTCCCTCATCCAAAGAATGTCAACTGTTGTGTCAGTTGGATTTAGCGAACATCAACTGTTAGACGAATACAGAGATTCACGCCTTAAATTGAAATGTTTATAATGTGATCAGCAGAACAATCCGTATTGTCTCCAATTGGGCTCCTACTTTGGCATCATGTACGAGGGTAAGTCAATAAGTAAGTTACAAATGGATATAGAACTTAAACAAATAAAAGTACTGATCTGAAAAATGCTTTTATTTCTCAGCATAATCTCCTATACATTGAGGCACTTGTCCCATCGTTTCACAAGCCCCCGAAAACCAGCAGCATAAAATTCTTTGGGCTGCTGTCAGAACCAGGCGTGTTCACACGGCATGGCCTACCTCATAATGCATGACAGGTTAGGTTTTCACAAAGTCTGTGCACGATGGGTGCCGCTCATGCTGACCCCACAACACAAAATGCAAAGAATGGGTCTGGCATTACAGCATCTCATTCGCTACCACGATGAAGGACACGATATGCTAGCCCGAATTGTCACAGGTCATGAGTCTTGGGTTCACCAT